TGGCAAAGAGTATGGGCTATCCCATAGGCTGGCAAATGAGCACATATTTGTTGCAGCTAGAGTGTTCCTTAGAGGCAAGGCTAGTTAAACTGCATCTCATGTCTTTTGGGTATATTATCAGAAAGGGACAATCATCATTAGAAAGATGGAATCCTCAAGTAGATGGGGTTAACACAGTGATTGCAACAATGGGCCCAAGCATAGCAGTGATGTGAAGATGGCACAGAATCTGGCAAGGTTGTGATCTTTGCACAGAGGTTCTCTGTGAGCAGGAGGCCACTCCAAGGCATCTAACGACATAGCTGACAGTGATAATACCATAATACTGAAAAGGACTGCTAGGTGAACAAACAGGTTCATCCTGGAGATGGTGAAACCAGGCTGGCTTCTCCTTGGAGGCAAGGGTTCTAAAGCTCTGTGTGACATATTTTGGGTGTGTTGCAAAAAGAGGGACCAGTCCTTGGAGAGGGTCATCATGCTTGGGAAGGTGGAGGGACAGCACAAGACAGGAAGACTCTTGATGAGATAGATTGACTCAGTGACTGGGGTAATGGGAATAGGTGTGTCACAGACAATAAATTTGGCTCAAGATAGAGAAGAGTTCAGAGCTGTTGTATATCAGGTTGTTATGAGTCACAAGCGACTCGATGGCACATAATAACAATAATAGACTTGCAAAATTTTCCAAGTTCCTCTCTTTAATTTCTAAGGCAATTTCTTCATTTTTTTTACTGACCATTCCTGATTGCCCTTTCTTTTCATCTTTGTTGGCTTTTCTTTCTCAAAATCTTTTGCTCCTTGATAAACATCCCGCCCTCAAACAGACTTGTCAGGTTATTTCGTGACCTTTGTTCTAACTCTTGTAAGTGCTTCTCACTCATTCACTCACCCATTGCCATTGAGTTGGAACCAACTCATAGGTGACCATCCAGCAGTTTTTCAGGAGCACCTGGTGAGTTCGAACAGCAAGCCTTAGAGTTGGTAGTGCAACTTCTTACCCACTAAGCCACCAGAGCTTCCTCTTTAGATGGCTAACTACCTAAAATATCACATCAAATTGGTAATGTCACTTCACTTACCACTCAGGTCAAGCTGAAAAGTGGGAACTGGGCAAAGAGAGAAAATTTCTTTTCATTCCCTCTTAATCCTTCACTTCTCAAAATTTATTCCCATGAGAAGTACTCAATGCTTTTTCTTCCTTCTTTTACACATCCTCCCAAATCATGACTCTTATTTTCACACTTTTGCAGGAACCATGTTATACAGAAATGCCATGGTGCATCATTTAGTGTATTTACCACTCAGGCTTCAGGGAAGCGGTTGATATAGTGTAAAAGCTTATAGCAAGTGTAGCTATCTGCACTAGCTACTTGCTGGACAAAATCACTGATTCACTGGGTGTCAGTATTGTGGCTGATCTGCTCTAAGTTATTTAGGGCATCTTGTTGTTGGCATCAGAAGGCCCGAAAGTCTATGCTGCATACATCCCACAGACCACGATGAATCTGATCACAGAGGCTGTGCAAATGGCTTGACATGAGATGCAACACCTCACCATCACCTATGGCTGATTTTATGCCGGCTTTCTTTTTTTCTGTTTCTTTCTAGGTGTGTCTGGTAGTTAAAATGTATTGCTCCAGAGATCAGTATGCTCTAACAGGCAGGTATGTGTCTAGGGTAGAATGATTATCACCGCAGCTCTTGAGAGAATGTGTATATTCCCTTACAAGAACAGTGTCCTCTGATTGTTTAATTGGTATTTGCCAAATGTAGGGGATGAGATCAGAAGATATCTTTGAAAAAATCAAAACGACTCACCCCTTCCCAGCTTTCATTACTCCTGGCATGTGTTAGATGACAAGTCCTTGACTCATGAAATTTAATAGGGTTATATGAGGGTTCAGGCTTCTCATCTGTTTTTAGAGATTAGTGAACACCTGTTTGCACCCATTTTTCATTCACTCAGTCTCTGTATTAATGCTCCAAAGCATTCTTGAGATTTCTGGGTTCTTCCAACTTTAGTTAAAAACTCACTTCCATTGATTAATAAAACAAGTGAACCTAAAATCAGTGTACTCCTGATCCACTTCTGTGAAATCCTCAAACAATTCCTCTAATGGGGTTCTTATATGAACTTATTACATCTTTGTAAGAAACTGTTTTGTTTTCTACACATTAAAGATATTAATGAATACATTTTATACCCTTGCTAAGAAAAATATTCTCTGTAGGTTTTATTTAATTATAATATATAAATTATACATATTACATATATCATCTAGTTCTAATTGAAACATCAGGAAGATAATTTTGCCTTCAAATAATTGTTAACACAGAAACAAGATATTTTAGGTATGGAAATTGGCTAGAAAATATGTGTACTATACTTTGGAAGCAGGAGTGGCATCCACTTCCTAAACAACATGCCTCTGGGAACTCTATGAACTTTGATAAATGATGATAGTTATAGAAAGGCTTCAGGCCTTTTGTTCATAGGGTCACTATGAGTCGTGCTTAGCTCACAAACACCACCACCACCACCACATAGATTACCAAATATTCTCAAGAAAATTATGTCTAATTCACATGAGACCTGTCATTGGATCCACATTATACTCCTTTTTGCAGTGATGATAGGCTGGAATGATAGTTGACAAAGATTTCCAATGAGTAGGAAGCTGAAGAAATACTCTTGCCTTTTATTTTACTGCCTGTTGTTAGAAAATATTTGTGGGCTGTTGCAAGTCTTTTTTTCTCATTATCAGCTTTGGAATATCAGTTCTGTATTGTTCATAGGATGTCTTCTTCTGGGCTACTCTCTAATCCTTACTTCTACATGGTGCTATTGTATATGAGGTGTTTATGTATAGTATGCATTTACTGTGTGGATCTTTCAGGTATAACCTAGTTTTCTCCTTAGCTACCTGCTTAACTAGTTTCTCTGTAAGACTTTGGAGAAATCCCAAGGCTGCCCAGGCAAGACAACTTAGGCTGGAGAAAGACAGTGAAAGACTGAGCCATCGCTACCATTTAGAGAGCACTGCTAGGATCTATTTTTCATATTTGAAGTCATTCCCCACTCTACGGCTTTAGGACTTCAGGCTATTTAAGTGAATATCCCACAGACTGCCAAAAGAACAAACAGGGCTTCCCTGGAGAAAGTAAAATCAGAGTGCTCCTCAGAGGCAAGGATGGTGAAGCTTCATCTTACAGTGGGAGTGTTATTGGAAGGTTCAATCCTTGGAGGACATCATGCTTCGAAAGATGGGAAGGGTCAGCAAAACAGAGGAAATCTTTCATCAAGATGGATTGATACTGTAATTCTGACAGTGGGCTCACGTATATCAGAGATGAGGAGGACGGCACAGGATAGGGTGTGGTTCAGATCCATTTATCATAGAGCCACTAAACTGTAACCAACTCAACAGCACATAACATGAGTGGCAGTAGAAATAGTATGGGCCTGGGAATCGTGTAGACTCGGGGACAAATCCTTTCTTCATCACTTACTATGTAGCCTATAAGCTATGAACTTCTTTAAACCTCAGGTATGTTGTAACTAAAATGAGTTGTTGAGGGGAAAGAAAATATAGATAATAACTTTATTGTAGGGCTATTGTAACAAAGTACCACCAACAAGGTGCATTAAAATAGAAATATATTTCCGTATAGTTCTAGAATATATAAATATGAACTTAGGATGTTGGCAGGACCCTCTCGCTGAAGATCTTTCCTTGCATCTTCCAGTTTCTGATTGAACTAGGTGTTCCTAAGCTTTTGACAGCTTAACTCTAATACCACTTTAGGTGAATACCTGAGTCTGCTTCATTTCTTGTTTTTATAAGGACACTCACTAGTCAGAGTAAAGAGCTCTGGTGGCCTAGTGGGTAAGGAGTTGTGCCGCCATCCCAAAGAGAAGTAATTTGAATCCAGTAGCTGCTCCTTGGGCTTGAGAGAAAGATGGACAATCTCCTTGTGGATGATTTTCAGTCTCTGAAAACTTGCTAGAGGGTCAGCTCTGAGTTGGGTCAGACTCGATGGCAATGAACAACAATAAGAATAAGATATTGGATCAGTATGCAGCCCACTCCGGTATGACTTCATATTAGCTTTAATGAAATCTGCAAAGACCCTGTTTCCAGAAGGTCTCCATCACAGATACCAGAGATTAAGACTTGAACACGTTGTCAGGAGGCACAATTATCCCCATAAAAATGCCTGAAAAGTAACTAAGAAACTACCTAGCATGTAGTAGGTTCTTAAGAATCAGTAGCCATGATGTGACCAGAAGGATAGTGCTGTAAAAAATTTGAGAGTAATGCTCCATGCCTCTACCCTTTCCCTGGGATAAAGGATCTGCCTTCAGGGTGCAGTGTTGTCTGTCCCAAGTTACACCATCATTTAAAAGTGTGCAGCTTCTTTCACATCTAAATGAACATGAGTCATGCCCTTAGTCATTTATGATGTCAATGGAATTTTACTAAGTTCTCCATTTATTTTCTAAGCATAGAGTTCCAACAATTGCAGCCAATGAAGTAGTTTTTTACTATCTTTTCATACTATAAAATAAAATTTTACACAAGCTGTTTAGTATCTTCATATGGATCTATGAAACTATATTTAGATTTTTATTGTTATTCAGCAAAGAAGACTTGCATTCTAAAACAATGAATAATCCATGGGCTGTGTGAGACTCTATTTTTCCATCCTCCTCTCTTGTTAGAAGATTTTAAATTATTTCCGTGATGTCATATACTATACTGAATTGACAAATTATATTAATTCTTTTATGAGATTACTTTTCTCTTAAGAATGCAGATGTTCAAATGAAGGGAGGAGGAGTAAGAGCTGACCATATATATTAAGTTAGTTCATGCAATGAATACATTCAAAGAGACATTTTAGTAGCTGAGGTTCTGAAAGGTTGAAAAAATATTTCTGGTTTACCACACACTTATTCTGATCATTTATATGACTTTGCTTTGTTTATTCTTACCTAGGTGACTTGCTGGTTTCAGAAAACCATAAGAGAGTTACAAGAACAGCATCTAGGTTCATCGCTTTCAGACAACGAGGAGCTGATTCGTAAGCATGAAGAGTTGATGATAAAAGCAAAGGTAAGAGACATATTAGACAAGTTAAAAAACTCAAAATAGGCTTCCTGAAAATGCTCTTTTATGAGAAATTCAGAGCTGAGTGAAACTAATAAGCTAGGACAAACAACACTCATTAAAAATAAATATATCTTTTTTTTAGTTTCCCCCCAGTCTTCATGTCAGTTATGCTTTATAACCATGGTGTTGTGCAGTATTTGTCCTTTTGTGACTGAGATATATAATACAGTGCTTGGCATGAAAATGGTGTTTGATCTATACCTGTTTATTAAGCCCAGTTAGCTGTGAAAAAAAAAAAAAGGTACATTCTTCAGTTTTTCTCTCTGAATCTCTGGAGACTTACTGAAAGTCTGTCCCTTTTCATGTTTCTAGCTATTATTTATTTAAAACTCTAATAATTGGTTAGCTATCTCTATCCTTCCATCATATTCCCTTCTTATAGACACATAGTTTCAATAGGTTCAATATGTGATCTGTTGACATGTTCCCATTCCCAATACATATAGTTACATGTTTTCAATTTCTATAAGTGATAGTAAGTTGTATATATCATTGCATTCCTTTGTATAACACTGCATTTTGTTTACAGATTTCTTAGCATTCTTCATCATAGCTATGTAGGTATTGATGCTATATCCTTCATAATTTTTAAGTGCCTATCATTTATTTACCTTTTTCTGATACTAGATCTTCTATCTTGCTGATTTGTTCTCCATCTAAACTCTTGCTATTCCCGCTCCATTGAGTTCTTCAGGGAACTGTGATGACGTAGTCTGTAGGGAGTTTCATGACTAACGGAGAAGTACCTCTCTGGTGGTTCAAATCCACTCATGACCTCATGGGAGAAAGTTGGGAAATCCCCTCAGTGTGTTTCAGCTATGAGTTTGTTCTGGCTCAACAACAATGAGAAAGAGGGGTGCATTGAGTTCTTCACTTTAGCTATTACAGCTTTCATACTTCACGTTAATTATTTTCCATACCTACTTATTCCTGCTCTAATTGTCGAATGTCCTTCCTTCTATCTTAAAGTATATTTTCTCATATATTAATTGTTTTATCTGACTGGTGTATCAAACTCACTTCCTCTGATTTTTATATTTCATTGTGTTACTTATGGTCATCAAATGTCACTTGTTCCTCTAAGCTAATAATATTCCCTTGACACTGTCAGGAACCCTTGAAAAACAAGGCATGTGGTTACTGCCAAGTCAGAACTAACTCATAGCTGACCCTCCAGAGTGTTTTCAGAGGCTGTAAATTTCATGAGAGGAGATTGCTCGTCTTTCTCCCATGGAGCAACTGGTGAGTTTGAACAGCCAGTCTTTGGGTTGGCAGTCCAATTCCTTTCCACTAGGCCACCAGACAAGATATGTTGTTGTATGCCATAAAGTCAGAACTGATCACTAGCTGACCCTCTAGCAGGTTTTCAGAGGCAGGAAATCACACAGAAGGGGACTGCCCATCTTTCTCCCACAGAGCAGCTGATAGATTTGAACTATATACCTTTGGTATTGCAGAGCGGCTTCTTACAACTAGACCACCAATGTACATTCTGGTGAACTATTCTCCCCTCTGAGTGAATTAAGAAGTACCACTGAGCCCAGAGAACTTCTTTTGCTATAATTACTCATAGTCATTTGCTGTCTGTCTTTTCACCCTAAGCACACACAAAAGAGGAGAGTACTTGAAGGACATCCCACTGAATGTGCTATGGACACTTTGTTCCACGAGCTCTTTGCCTTGGATGTGTTAGCTAGCATGGTAGAGCGTTGGAAAGGGCATGATAAGAATAAGTCAGGTTGCTTGCCATTCTTATATTAGCTATCCACTCTGTCAGATTCCAGTGTAACCATGATGTTTCTCTTCTCTGGTTGGGATGGAGTTAAGTCTATTTCCTACAATGTGAAAGTAGGCATAAAGATAAGCAATGGTCAGGCAATGGAGAGAGCAGACAGCACACTTAGAAAGTTCTTCCCTGGCGTATCTCCTTTTTGTGGCATCTACCCTTCTTTCATTCTAACTATGTACACATGATACTGAAACTCTAGTGCTTTTTGACTCTTCAAAGTTTGTGATCTTTAAAACTGCTGCCTTGAAAAGGCAAGAGTAACTCCATAAATGGAGGCTCAGTGAAAAACAAAGATGTCACAGGCCTGTCTTTTTTTAATAAAAAAAAAGTTATTAAGAATTTCAGGACAGTAACATCAGAGATTGAAGCCAAGAATGCCCTTGTTAGCTGCTGCTTAGTCAGTTCTGACTCACAGGGACCTGTTTACCATGAAATGAAACCCTACCCAGACTTAAGCCATACCCAGAGGCTGTTCGAACCCATAGTGCACCCACTGCGTCAGTCCATCTCAGTGGGAGTACTCACCTTTTCTTGTTGACTCTATTTCACCAAGCACACAACAGAGTCATTGATTTCACATGCAAGCAAGATTCTGCTGAAGATCATCCAAAAACGATTAGAACAGCACATCAGCAGAGAACTGCCGGAAGTCCAGGATGGGTTTAGAAGGGGTCGCGATACTAGGGATATCGTTGCTGATGTTAGATGGATCTTGGCTGAAAGCAGAGAATACCAGAAGAATGTCTATCTGTGTTTCATTGATTATGCAAAGGTATTTGACTGTGTGGATCATAACCAACTGTGGCTGACTCTGAGAAAAATGGGAATCCCAGAACATTTAATTGTGCTAATACGAAACCTATACTTGGACCAAGAGGCAGTAGTCAGAACAGAGCAGGGTAACACTGCATGGTTCAAAATTGGGAAGAGTGTATGCCAGGGATGCATCCTGTCTCCATACCTTTTCAACATGTATGCAGGGCAGATTATCCGAGAAGCTGGGCTCTATGAGGAGAATTGTGGCATCAGGATTGGTGGAAGGGCTATTAACAATCTCCGTTATGCAGATGACACAAGCCTGCTTGCTGAAACTGAGGAGGACCTCATGCACTTGCTGCGAAGGGTCAAGGACTGCAGCCTTCAGTATGGACTGAGGCTCAATGTCAAGAAGACAAAGATTCTCACCACTGGACCAATTAGCAGCATCAGGATGGATGACGAAGAGATTGAGATTGTTCACAGCTTCAGTTTGCTCGGCTCCACAGTCAACACTCTTGGCACCAGCAGTCAGGAAATCAAAAAGCGTATCGCGATGGGAAAATCTGCTGTTAGGGACCTCTCTAGAGTACTCAGGAGCAACAGTGTCTCTCTGGAGACTAAGGTGCGCCTGATACAGGCCATGGTATTTGCAATCGCTTGTTATGCATCAGAGAGTTGGACAATGACTAGGGAGGACAGAAGGAGAGTGGATGCTTTTGAGCTGTGGTGCTGGAGAAGGGTACTGAATGTACCCTGGACTGCCAGGAAAACAAACAGATTTATCTTGGAGAGGATTAAACCAAGCTACTCCTTGGAGGCAAGCATTCTGGGGCTTCCTCTGACATACTTTGGACATGTTGCCAGGAGGGACGGGTCCTTGGAGAGGGACATCATGCTTGGGAGGGTTGAGGGACAACGCAGGAGGGAAAGACCCCCTATGAGATGGATTGATTCGGTGACTGGGGTAATCGGGATGGGTGTGTCAAAGGCGGTGCGGTTGGCGCAGGATAGAGCAGGGTTTTGGGCTGTTGTGCATAGGGTCGCTATGAGTCAGAAACGACTCGACGGCACATAACAACAACAACAACATGGTGTCCTTATCTGCAGGCCTGTCTGCCCTGATAACATGCACAAAGCATGCAAGATGAAGTCTTGCTATTCTCAATTCTAAGGAGTATTCTGGCAATATTACTTTCATTTTGTCTATTCTTCTGGCAGTTCATGGTATATTAAAGATTCTTTGCTAACACCACAATGCAAGGGCAGACATTTTTTAAGTCTTATTTATTGTTGAGTTTTTACATGTATACGAGACAATTAAAAATACTATGGCTTGCAACAGGTTTGCCTTTGTCCACAAGGTGACATCTTTGCTTTTCAATCTTTCAAAGAGATTTTTTTTTATAACCAGTTTGTCCAATGCAATACATGGGTGGATTACTTAACTCTTAATTACATAGGTGTTTATTGTGGGTTCAAATAAAATTGAATCCTTGAGTATGTCAATATTTTTTCCCTTTATCATGATGCTGCTTATTTACCCCATTGTAGGGACTTTTGTTTTCTTTAAGCTTACTCATGGCTCTTGAGGCAATCCCTATTCATTATGACCCTCTGTAGGATCTCTGATACTGTAAATCATATCAGAATATTGTCTATCTTTCTTCCATGATACTGCTGATGGATTCGGACAACTAGAGATGGATAGAGGCACAACTGTCTACCGTTGATGCCACTTGAGCTCTCTTTCTGCATAAGGCTCTTCTAAATCAAGTACTCTGTTACAGTGATTAAAGTGCTCAGTGGCTAACCAAATGCTAGTTGTTCAACTAACTCTAATGACTGTTTCAGAGAAAAAGACATGCCTGTTTTCTTCCACAAAATTTTACAACATTGGGCCGCTTCTACTTCCTCTCATATAGGATTGCTAAGTTAGAATTGGCTTGGCATCAATGTTTTGCATTGTTTTGTTTTGTATGCTGTGATGGTACAGGCCCTGTTTTCAGAGTTTGTTTTACTGGAAGGATTCAACAGTCGTTGCTGGTTAGACATTTTCCACAGCCAAGTTAGTTTACCTCCTCTCACCTAGGTTAGCAGGTTTTCTATTTAAACAGACACCACCAGAATAGAGAAAGAGGAACGCTTATGCCACACTGTTCATGGTCCTATATTTTGAAGTCTTTATCCTCTTTCTCACTCAGAAGCAAATGCATTCCCAAAACAATAGAGTACTTGAAAGTTGAATATATAGTTATAACTAATGGGTTAGATGTATGTGGAAAAGAAAGCAGGTTCTGACTCTTGCTCTGCTACTCCACATACAATATAGAATACACATACTCAATATATATTATATAATATCTAATATACAACGTTCAATTCACTTAACTTCTCT